ATTCAATCGCGTCGCCGACTTCGACGAGCTGTGGGCCGGCGACATGCTCGAAGTCGAGGTGGCTGGCGTGAAGGTTCTGCTGGTCCACACCGAAGAGGGCGAAGTGCAGGCAGTGCAGGCCATGTGCCCGCACCAGGCCGTCGCGCTGAGCGGCGGTGAATTGCGCGGCAGCAGGATCACCTGCCCGGCCCATCGCTGGGAACTCGATGCCGTCAGTGGCAAGGGCATCAACCCCTGTCATGCCGAACTCGCGCTCTACCCGACCAAGGTCGTGGACGGCCAGATCTACGTCTCCGTCCGAGATGTCACACCCAAGCACTGCAAGCCCTGAGCAAGGAAGCCGATATGGAGAATGCAAGCGTGAGCGGTGCCGAGATGATGGCGGGTCCCGTCCTGAGGGCGGGCGAGGTGACCGATGCCCTCATCGAGGCCCTGCAGGAAGACAATCCCGGCAAGGAACTGCAGGTGCGCGACGCCAGCGGCTACGTGCGGGTCGAGGGGCCGGGCGGTCTCACCCTCAATCGGAAGACGGTGGAATATATGCTGGGTCGGAGTTTCAGCATGCAGGAAATCGAAATCCACATGACCGGTTTCTCCGGGAAGATCGAGATGACGGCGGACATGATCCGCTGGTTTTTTCGCGGCAACCACTGACCCGATCGAGGCACATAATGGACACGCGCGAAACACTCAGCCTGCACCCGCTGAAGACCTGGAGCCATCTGGCCGCACGCCGCCGCCGGCCAACCGAATACGAGACTGTCTCCACCAACCTGCTGTGGAGCACGCAGGATCCCGACCGGCCCTGGACGATGGGCCAGGCGATCCCGATGAGCGGTTGGTTCAAGCGTTACCGCAACCAGAGCCCGCTACAGCATGCCGACTGGGACGGCTTCCGAGATCCCGACCAGCTCATCTACCGCAACTACACGCTGATCCAGGATGGCCAGGAGGCTTTCGTCGACGGCCTGCTCGACGAGCACCAGCGCAACGATCATGACGAGAGCCTGCCACAGTCTTGGCTGGAGCTGCTCGGCTCGCACTGGGCGCCGGCACGCTACCTCGTGCATGCCCAGCAGATGTCATCGAACTATCTTGTGGCGCTCGCCCCCTCCAGTACCATCGTCAACTGCTTCATGCTGCAGGCCGGCGACCAGCTGCGCTGGGTCTCGCGCATCGCCTATCGCACGGCGGCGCTGCGCAAGGCGCATCCGGATCAGAAGTTCGGCGAAGCCGAACGGGCGCATTGGGAGCAGGCGCCGGCCTGGCAGGGTTTCCGTGAGTTGGCGGAACGTGCGC